AATGGCCTTCCTCATTTTAGGCGACACTCTCAAAACAGCGGCGGCACCACGCGGAGTCGCCGCTGGCCGCGGGCTTGTCTTTCATCCCATCTGTCTTTTTTCCCCAGTTCTAATGGGCCCGCGGTTCTGTCACTGTGAATCTAATGGGTCCTCGTCCATGCCCGGACGCACCGCGATCATTCGAGGCGGGGCGCGTGAGTCAGCGATTCTCGACTAACAGCTCGAGTGTTTCATATGTTTTATGGATCCAAAGAGGTGGGAAATGACTCGAAAGGCTGCGGGTGTCACACACAGTCGGTGATGAATTTGGGGTCAAAGGGGGCTGCGCTCAAACAGACGCAGCGGTCGGTGATGAATCATCCATCCAGATTCTGGGAGAAAAGGTGCTGAAGTCTCGGGTCAACCCGGGGGGTTTGACGTGTGAAGGAAATAGTCACTTGTCATCAAAATTATCTTATCAGTACTAGAACGACGACAGTAGCTTTGGGGCATTTTTCTTCAAGGCAGGAACAAGCGGAAAGGATCGACACCCGTTAAGTTACTTGCATTCAGCGCAAAGGAATGTCAGAAGTTTCAAAGTTCGCTGTGCATGATTTCAGCTCAGAGTTAGCGGATTTGAACACGTGTGTGAACGTTAGATTAGGCCCTTCTATCCTTTCCCCTCGGTTTTAATCCCTTTCTCATATTCCCACTTTTTTCAGATGCCTTCGGGGCCCCACCCTGTTGCCACACTCTCGTGGGAATATTGACACCGCTTTGATATCGCGTGAATGTATACATGGGCATCTGATCAATCCCCTCCGCAGCCATTTCTCTCCTGAGCTGTTCCAAGAGTTCAGTCCTCAGGTAGATGTAGAAACGTGTGGAAAAATTCCTCTATGCGCACTCAAAAGCATGTATGATTGAGCAGTTGTTCTCCAGGAGTATGTCGGAGATTCGACAAACTGCGGACAGTGACAGACATGAATACGGCGCAAGAATATATGGATCACTCCTTTCAGCCCACTGCTGCTGTGAAGCAAATGAGGATTGACGGCGGTATCGGCATAGCTCCGGAGGGAAGCTGGGATTTCTAAGCTTCACTTCCCCAAGGTTTGATGAATAATCCATACGGATACTTGGAGAACAGGTGCCGAAGCCTTCGGTCAACCTGTGGGGGGGTTGACGTGTGAAGGAAGCAGTCAGTCGTCATCAAAACAGACCCTGGCAGACCACTTCAATGACTCCCAGAGGATATTTCATCTTACTGAGTCCAGTGAGTTGGAGCTAATGTGAAAGAGCATCCTGGCAATGAGCTCTTAGAGCACATTTCCACCCTTGAAAGGCATCGTGACCCCCCGTCACACGTTAAGGGAGCAAAGAGAACAGCTTGTGAACAAGGGCTCCAGTTTTGGCGTCATTAGCAAGCCAGTCGCCACATCCATGCGATGATGATGCGTTCCGAAATATTTGAGGGGGGTTCCCCCAATGGCCGGTGTATTCCAGTGCCAGTCGAAGCCCCCCACCCCATCCATGAGAGCTAGCGTGTCGCCACGCATTCAGACATCATCAGACTCAGTCAATAATCAACAACAAATATTCATTGGCGTATTTTATTGCAAAAAGACTTTTCCCAATAGCCTGAGGTAGGAACTATAACGCATGTGACAAACCAAAGTAAAATGAACTGCGAGGAAGTGATGTACAGTTTGTCTATGAGTAATACACAATATAACACTGTTACATAATCGGTTTTACAGATATGACAGCAAAATGGCTTGTTGAATGGGCGGGGATCAAATATTCAAACAAAAATAATCTCGAACATCAATCAAACAGTCTGAAGGTTGACTATACTTCCTGCCAGCGGAAATTTCAAATATATAACAACATAAAACAGCATTCTTTATACACCATACCGATACATCGAGAGCGTGATCATATAAAAATAGATTTTTTTTTCCCTCCTCCTCACATTTTAAACAAAGTACAACATAGAACACAAATCTTTTCGAGAGCACCAGTAAAAATGTGCCAGACAAGCAAAATGATATAAGTGCCACTATAATGAGATATCATGTCTTTTATTTCATTATTTTTTGTTATTGTTGTTGTTGTTGTTGTTTCATAAAAATAAAATCCTTCTCGAGAGAGCTGTTCAAACGGCACACAATCCGAGCAAATGTGATGTACAAAACAAAACCTCCCTACTTGCATTTATTTACAGCATGATTATTTCCCACAAAAGCTGAGCATCCTTTGCGGTTGGCGTGTGTGCCCACCGCTTCTCCTCACGTACGTGTCAAGTGTTTGTTTACGCCGTCATGGAGACAACCTCTAACCCCCGCCAGCGCGGCAAAGGCAAGAAACGTTTCGGCCGTCGACTGTGACGGCAGGCTTTGATTAGCGACTATTCACAAGCGGGAATGTGCTCTGTGTTCAGGCAACGTCGTCCTTATTGACGTGCGCACGAGGGAGTCACTCAAATCACGGCGAAAACCCGAAACGCCTTCCCGCCGGGAGGATTCTGAACACTGGATGGAAACGAGAGAAAGACAAGAGTCAGTGTGGTTAAGGCTGAGTGGCGTAGATGACACGGACGCGCATTACGGTGCACTTTGGGTTTTTGACGCCGGCGTCGCCACGTACCCACACCGATGACAGACGGGAAACAAACAGATATGACCCAAACTGCTTCGGAAAACAGATGCCCCCAAATACGATTTGTATCCACATTTCGAAAAGCCCGATTCCGACCTAAGGATTACCGATTCCATGTCTTTCGTTCCATTTCGGAAAATCCGGAATTCTGTCACCATTTGGTCTAATTTCAGCCTTGGACTGGAATTGCCCAGGGATGTAAGCGAGGCGTGACTTTTTACATGTCTTGTTGCAGCAACACATGAACATCATGTCAGTTAGAAGACTGCAACAGCAGGTGTCTGAATGTTGGCATTTTCAAAGTTTGATCAACGGATAAGTGATTCTCAGAGCATTCACTTGAGTATTTTTTTCCTTCGACTGTAATTGCCAAGAAATGAATAATTCTAAGCAAGAGGCCCGCATACCGCTCTCCCAGAGGAACAACAGGAGAAGTTATGAGCTGCCTGTACCTTGAAACGATTCAATTCACGAAGGAGAGAAGTGGGCAAAGAAAGTGCTCACTTTACCTGAGAGCCATCAGTTTCTACTCCAACATGCAAAACTCTCCAAGCAACACTTTTGAATTCATTTCAAGGCACTACATTGGCTACTTTGATTTCTCTACCATTTTTTTACGTGTTGAGATCTCATCCTAAGTCCTGAAACACCACCGGGCATGAATTGAAGCTCGACAAACATCAACTACCTCTCTGAGACGACGCCATTTTGGCTGGAGGCGGTGTAGAGTTTCCGCTTGTCTGCCGGCATCACGTCGATGTAACCGCCCGCGTCGTTCCTGATGACCCCAGCGTGGACCGCCGCGCGGCAAATACTGGATTTCTACAGGAACGGGCGACACGCACGATTTGGTTCGATGAAGCTCCAGTGTGCATCCTTCCGTGAGCAAAATACTTACATCAGAGTATATTCTGGTGCCGATGACTCTGGAGATGTGCGAGTTCTCTTCTAAACAGTTCCTTGGGCAGTATAACCTATCAAGGGAACGTATAAAACCTTGTGAGATGCGTATTATTCACAAGGAGGGGCTGCTACGGCGGCGAATACCTCGGGCAATGCTTTGGAGGCCATTGGTAAGGACACAGTTGTTCAACTGTGGTCTCGCAGGTGATTGATTTCACTGCAACACGACACAACAGAAATGGAGCGATAAGATAAATTAAAGCTTAACCAGTGACGTGTAAACTCGGAGCGGACCTGCTACTCTGGATACTGTGAATGAATTGGCACTCTGATATTTCCTGCCCAGAGAGACAAAGAGAATGTTACATTTTGACTTTATAGTTGAAAGTGTTGTTCTAGTTTTTGTCTTTTTCAACACTTTGAGCTGGTCTCACCCCAGTGACTGGACTCCATTCTTGTTAGACTTGATGAAAAAGTCCTTTCTTCCCTGTCTCGTTACATCCATCCATCCTCCATCATTATCGATGACGCCGGCATGGAGACCGGCCCGGCACACGCTGGACTGCTGCAGAAATAAGATGACATCAACGAGATGTGAATGTTTAGCTGACAGGTTTCAAATACGGTGGAAGGAAACGTTCACGGTGTCGCATTGTGTGTACTTACCATTTCATAGTAAACTGTCCCAACTACTTTCCCTGTAGCATCCAAGCATCCCGCGGGGCATTCATATCTGTGGGTTCACAGAGATGGGAAGATAAAAAACAAACCGCACCAAAAAAAAAAAAAAAAAAAGAAACAGTAATTTGTACTTCCTTACACTTTTATGCCTACGTCTGCTAAGGAGATTTTTCATTGCAATTTTGTCTCTGTTTGCAAGATTTGGGGCATATCCAGAAAAATCAAAGTATCTTTACTTCACGTACGAATGGTTAATGAACCTGAATGACAACATTCAGGCACATGGGAAATATGGGGTTTATAATTTTGGCCTTGGAGGAAGTAAGGGCTTTGACTTGCCGCCATTTATAGTTTTATCCGTACCTATTACACGTCGTTCCTTTGCACTGATCTCGAAGTTTGGTGTCACAGGTCACAAGCTGAGCTGCAAAACAGGAGTAAGAAAGGAATTTGAGTGTGCTTACATTCGACGCGGTTGACTCGCTTTAAAATCTGTCAGGATGAGTCAGTCATATTTCCACATAAGGGCTCGATTTGTGCTTCAAAGTCATTTTTGCTATCAAATCAAGCAAGCATTCATAAATGCTTTGCTTTTGACCCAACAATATTTGACCACCATTGAAGAGCAAGTCTTTTTTTTTTTTTTTAAATGAAACAAAACCCGGGATAAACAATGCAATGGCAGCGTACACATTTGCTGTGTGTTGACCACTTCATTCTTTGGCAGGTCATCTGTGGGGGTCCTGGTGGCGGGAGCAGGAAGACTGGGAGTCTCAGGCTTTGAAACCCGGGGCCGGATCTTCTGAGTCGTACGGGGGGCTTCCGGCTCGATAAAGTTGTTTTCTTCTCTTTCCTCTGGTGCAAGGTGGGTATTGTGGCCTTTGAATAAAACATCACAAATCGTCACATCGACACACATCAAACATTTTGGCAGTTTCCTCTGGAGGACACATTTGCATTTACCTTTATAGCAAAGGTTGTCCTTGCAGCCACCTCCATAGCTGGGAGGACACGCGGAACAGGGGGCCCCGTGTTTGTAAGGCGCATGGCCCCACCAGTTCCCCCTGTTTAGGTCACATAGCAACCAAAAACTATTTGAAATATTGTTTGACACTCACAGGCCACAACTCCGGCACATAATGACATCGGAATCCAGAGCTATAGAGTGGATAGGACATTCTGCCGAGACAAAGTCAATAAAGCTCAGTTTGAATGATGACACGATCAGAGGTAATCATTTTTTTCTCATTATAATCCCTCAAGGGGAAATTCTTCATACATTTTTGTGTTGCTCCCAAATCAAACACATGCCTGGAGAGTTGTCAGAGAAAAAGGGGACTTGCAAACCGTGTGCTTGGAGGGACAGCGACTTGCTCAAGGGCACTCGATGCCACGATAAAAACAACTTGAACAACATATGGACTTACTTTGGTGAATAGTTGCACACAAGGTACACGGCCTTGGCCCAAATCTGTCCCCACACATTCATGTTGTAGCACAAGTTGACGGCGCAGCCAATCCGACTGCTGGTGGCCCACACCAGCTGCAAAACACAGAGCATTAAAAAAAAAAAAAAACGTCTTTGATCATAATAAAGCCTTCAATATCCTGAAAAGACGGTTTGGGTCCAGATGTAGCAGCTGCACCTGGGTGTAATGCGTGCACACCGGGCCGGAACATCGGAATGGGCAGTAGGGGTTACACTCTTGGGGATAAGGAAAAGAGTAGTCTTTCACTTCATCGTACCAGGCCTGAACATGGAAGGTGGGCGGGCGATACCTGCAGGGAATGAAAAGAGACATTTCATATTCTACGACAACATGAATTGTTTGATTCAGCGGCGGCTCTGACGGATGGCACCGTCTTTCTTTCTATCCAAGCAATATTGAATGCAGAGAAAGGGAAAAGGCTCGATCCCCTGCGAGCCTTCACTTGGTCCTCGATAGCTGCCAGCGAGCGCACAAGCACAAACCAAACATCCTTGCCATGACAGTTTTTTTTTTTAACTATGCCACCCTTGAGGAAGGGTACACATTGCCAGAAACATCCTCCCTGTCCAATTAAAACTTGGCTGTCTCCCTCAGTTTTTGTATTTTTAAAAAACATTTGATACAAACAGATTTTGTTTAATACATTTATTCCTTGACTAAGTTACTCAGCTTCAACGTTGATTTTATATTGATGCCATTTTTTATTTACCTCCCCCAGTGAGCTCCCAGATTCTGTCCAATCTGTGGCAGTAAACCCGCAGGACCGTGCTCCCACAGACAGGTCTCGGCCCACTCCTCCGCCGTGCGCTCCAGCTCGGTGTCCCATTCCTGAACAAGGTAGGAGAAATCAAATACGGTGTTAAACTCTCCTTTGTTTTATGTGTTAGTTTAAGAGTGACAAATAAACAGCTTGAAGATCTCATTTGGCAAACTTTGTGAGACTGAAGAAAAGGGGTCACCGGTGTAGTGGCCGTGGGCATCAGAGAGCCCCCAAGAACCACATCAGTAGCCCACGAGCCTGTTCCAAAAATTAGCTCACCGCTGATGAGACATTGTGATTTCCTAGGAACGTTGTCGACATGATAACGTGAAAATGTCAACACTTGCAGCGTTGATGAATTTCATTCATGATTAATAATATATGAGTCAAGGTCATTTGAGCATTTTCCGCCGTGGACTTCCAATGGAGCCACCCGCTGCTTTTCACTTTTCCGGCACCGCGCCTCTGTCAATTTCCTTCCTGCTGGGTGAGGAGAATGCTCCATTTGAGCCGTTGGCCATTTGAGTGTCGTTCGAGTGACTCCTTATGCGCACGGGAACCACAGGAACCGTCTGTGTCAGACTTTTCAAAAAGGAATATTGAATTGTGGATGTTAATGCATGACCAATTTACCCGTCTTTCATCACTTTTAATCATTTTCCTCAAGTGACATGACTTCCTCCACGAGCTTGGAAACAAAAATTTGAAAACCTGTCTCGAAGTTAACTGTCTTTTGTTTCGTTTTTTTTTAAAGGCAAAAGCAAATGTTTCTGTTTTTATTAGATCATTGTCAAAGAGTCACAGGGGCTGTCCCCTACCGAGGATTTTTGGATCGCTAAGGAGTGTGAACTCTTTGTTATTCTGAGAAATATATATTTTTTTTTCCTTCTGTGTTGTATAGTGACAGAATGGGAACGAAGCCACGGGGATAAGGGGGGAAGGGGGGCTAAGTGGAGAGTGAGCGGGAAATGGGGGAGGAAGAAATGTGGAGATTTGAACTGATGTTATCTTACAGTCTCAGAGGTGATCGGCACACGGGGTCAGTCGGGTTCCGGTTTAATACCGAAACGGACGTTAACGCAGCTGATGGATGGATGGGTGTGTGCGTATGTGTGTGAGGGATTTTTGGATTTGTATCTGCATGCACGAGCGTGCCGGCGGAGCGGAGTGGCACGTGAAGTCTTCCAGCAGAGTGGCGCTGTGAGCTTTTCTGAGCGGTGACAGCATTCCAACAACACAGACCAAAAAAGGAAGTCGGGAAACAAGATGAAGCGCTTTCAAATCGACCGCCACAATGTCAAGTGTTTGGCAGTTGAATTGGCTCCATTTCCTTTGCATTTTGATACAAAACGCAGTCGTCTCTCTCCAGCCAAGCCACAATCCTGGCATAATAATGTAAATGTTCGTCACGCGTGACAAAGAACAGGCTTTGAAAGCGTGAAACACCCATTATTTAACTGTACTTGTGGTGTTTTCCTTTCATTCAGATTCTCGATGTTGGCAGTATTTGGTCTTTCTCAAGAAAATCTACAGAGACATATTTTTAAATTACTTTTGGTATGCTCAGCCTGCGGGCTTAATTTACCAGGCATCAAAAATGAGACAAACATGGGAGAGAGGGCCAGATATGTTGGCAAGAGTTTTCGTAGTTTTTCGAAATGAAATACCCCACAGACTCGCGATACCAAAAACAGCTCTTTTTTCCCAAAAATATATCTTTTTTTTAATGCAATTCTGAATGGCCGTCGACTAAATGGTCCATGATGGCCTTGTACTGATTTGTGAAAGCACAATTAAATGCACATTTCCACCAGCATAGTTCAGTTCTGTTTTGCCACAGTACAGTGTGAACCCCCATCAGGCTTGAGTTTCCGGGCAGTATGGCAGTAACGATGTTAGCCTTGGGAAAGGAGTGTGACAATAGCGTATTATCGGTGCAGTGTGCCATAAATAGCTCCTTTGTAAAATATATACAAGAGTAGGCAGTAATAAGTGTAACTTCACATGCCGTATGATAACATATTCTAAAGTCGTGCGCCCTTTGGAACCTCGTCATTTTGAATATGACCGTCGTAAACGGACACCTGTCCATCATTTATCGCAGCACAAATGGAGACAGACAATCCTCTGTCGGTCAATCAACGGACATCTGTCTAGCTCCGCCTTTTACAAGCGCACCAAGCCGTCACGCTGCAAACGGCCCCCTAAAGAAGTCGTACTGAAAATGAAGGCTGTGCGGATCCAATATTTTGAGATTCTGAACAATCGACTGCAATCAAGAACAAACTGTACCGCTTGGTGCAAATGCATCAAAGTAGAGTTTGTGAAGTACAATTCAAGGAGGTCTGACTTCCTGCTTTTGCTCGTGGAAAAGCTTCAATATAATATAGAAATAATTATTATATAGCATTTTAACATTGGAAATGGCAAAGAATGGCCCCATTTAGTGCAAACGGCTCTTTAGTGCACTTTCCCTCGCGGTAGTTACCTTGTGACTAAATCGGTCATTTCGTTTCATTCAACATTCCACCAAAGCGAAGGTTTGAAGCCGTTCCCATTTTTGATCTGCCCTCGAAGAAGTGCTGTTTATCACCACACAAATGCGAACACGGTCACAAATAAAATTGTGACTCGATTGTATCCCGGTTGGACATAATGATATGCATAAAATCCAATTTTATTCCAGAGTACTGCACTATGTACTTTGATTTAATGTTTCTTTCCAGAATCTATGATTGCTTTTGTTTTTTTAACTTTTTCCTCACTTCACTTGATTCTTCATCTGCCTTTCAAATCTTTGGAAAGCCTCTCTCCTTTCAATTTCTCAAATCTGTGTATATCATCTTTAGACCTGTTTCTGTTTACCTATTCTTTGCCAACCCTTCCTCGAACCTCACGTCCTCTTGGTGCTCGCCTCCCCCATAAGTCACCCCTGGGTGCCCCTGAATGTTGAGAAGAAAAACTAGCAAAGAAAAGAAAAGGGGGGCGGGGGGACCAACCAACCAACTGTAACAGGAGACAGTAGAAAGGAGCCATGCACTGCTAGCTGCTGGCTCAGCATTTCTCTGCAAAAGTGTGCTTCAAATAGAGGCCTGCCAAGTCCCAATTCATTCACGTACACGCACGCACACACACACATGCACACGCGCGCACACTGTCCTCAAATCCAAACTCTCAATTATACAATTACATAGTCCAGCAATTGCCCCCAGCAGGAACTGTTTATTTTTCCTTCACCGTGGAATAATACTGCCTTTTGTTCCGTAGCGCTTTAAGTGAGACATAAAAAAAGTCATTACTTTCCCGACGCTGTATTGATTTTTAACGGGCCCCAGACCCGTTGGTGGCCATTCACAATGGCGGTCAGGCGGCAGTTACACGTGTAGCGTGTTTGCGAGCGTTCCAGATGGCCGAGCGTGGGGCACTTGACTTTGGAGGAGGTGTGTGTGGTTTGTGTGTGTGTGCGCGTGCACGTGCTCGGTGGGGGCGAGACAGCTGGGAAAACACAAGCCGGGGTGCCGCGCTCGTGATTCTAATTGCACGGTGAAAAGTGATCGTGGAGATTGTGCACCAGTACACGCGCACGCAGATATCCACACGCACGCACGCACGGCAACCAAGTGGTCCAACATATCCGAGTGAAGTTATGCATTTTTTGGCAACGCGGTGGACTTTTCTTTTTTTTCTTTGGAAAAAAAACCCAACCAAAGTCACGTGAAGGGATTAAAAAAGTGTTGAGTGGGAGTAGTGCCAGCTGCTCTGGTGGCGGTCACTGAGCTGTATGGCCCCCCAAGTACACTTCTCAAGTTCAGACTGGGGTCACTTATGCTGCTTTTCCACTGCCAAGCACCGGCTCAGTTCAATGGGCACTTTTTGTTTTCCACCTCAGAATACGGTGGGAAACTGCGACAGGCTCTGATGTATTGAACGCATCAGTAGCAACCATCCACAGTAACAAACAATAACTACGGAGAAAAACCAAGGCTCCTTGTATTATATTAGAGGAGATTGAGGGCAACAGGAAAGCCAAGGGGAAAATGTGGCGCATGATCCGAAGGCACAGCATGACGGGAAGGTAATGTGTGTTTAATTTTCTTGTCTTTGAATTCTCCAATGTTGCGTGGTTACAACAGTGAAGAGGAGACTGACGGTGGCATGAAAATGGAGAGCTGCAACAAAGTGGAGACTATCGAGAATAATAGTGAAGCATCTAGCAGTAGTGTGTCATGACCAAGTCCTGGAGAAAAGAAAGAAAACCCGCAATTGATAGCAACATGCCACAAGATGGCGGCAAAGCAATACTTTGATTGCCTTGACCTGACCACAAAACAGTGACGATGCCTGTATTCTCAAATGTTACAATGGAACCCCAACCGACTTCATAGTACCCGCTGGTACCTTTTTGAAGAATTAGTCTCACTAACAAACAACAAAAATATAGGAGAACGATGATTGTCTGCCCGCTCACCATGTACTCCATGTTGGACGCTTGGGGGTACACCTGACCTCGGAGCTTGTTGTGCAGGTCCAGTATGAGCTGAGCGTCACTGTCAGTGATGGCTCTCCTCCCCCTCTGCTTGGCCTCCCACCACTCGCCATCCTCGTCCAGGTACTTGTCCAGAATCTGCTGCCAGCCGGTGGAGTTAGGTGTTGCCATGGAAACGGCCCTCTGGGTGAGCAGCAGTAGTAGCAGCGGCGGCAGCAGGGACAAGCCCCTTGGCCGGTTTGGTGATGCGAGTCTCATTTTTTTTTTTTTTTTTATGTCAAATGCCAGGTGGGATGGATGTGGTGTGAGGATGGAGATGCACTCCTCAGCATTGGATTATGTGACCTGGCATGAAAAAAAAATAACGATAATACTTTGCTTTCGAGAATCTGACCTGCTCTGAAAGGTTAAGGCTGCTTAAAGGTCATGACCCATATCAGAAAGGCAATTGAAGTCATAGCACAGCACATAGTTCACTTAATGACAGTAGGTCTCTCAAACCCAAATAACGGTAGCTTTACAACTAATGTGACCTCTAATACAGCTGTGACCTCTGTCACATTTTTTGTTGAATATTTTACAGTTGAAATT